AAGATAAATGGTCCTTACAGTGTAGAATGTAGCTGCCCTTCTTACACAGTCTCCACCAATATTGTCAGCTTAGGCAGACTCATCATTTGTTCAGCTGCACAATGAAAAAGGAAGACGCAGATCTATATGTTCTGACATAAAAAAAATCACCAAGACATATTGCCAAAAGGTAAAAAAGCAATGTTGCATAATCAAATACTTGGTGTGATCCCATTTTTATTTGTACTTGCATAGAACAAAGCTCTCCCAAACTGTGAATGGCTTTTTTTTCTTTCCTACAATGAACTTGCTGGGGACTCCATTTTCCCTGAGATTTATTTCACTAGTTGATTTTTTTTATCAGCTTGTCATCAGAAAACAAAATAAACAAACAAAATAAATGTCTTTTAAAAAGAGTAAAAAAAAACAATAGTTATGCTCCAAACGCGGGGGCTGCCCTGTACATTCCATGGTCCCATCTGCTTTGCTATCCTGATCCATCTACTTCTCACCCTGTTGAGTGCATCAGTGACTGCTCAGACCAAAATGCAGATTTCAGTAGAAACAGGAAAGAGGAGACTTGGGGGAAGCATTGTGAAGTCACATTCCTAGCAAGGGTTAGAGTTGAAATTTGAATCCAGACCTTTCCAATCCAAGCAGGGACTACTGGTTAACGAAGCCTCTCCAGCATACTGTCTTTGGCATGGACCTTTTCTCTGCAGTTTCTTATATTGTGCACTGGGGAAGACTCACATCGCCATTACCTGAGATGATTGTTAAAATGCAAATTCCAGGACCCTCAGATCCCCCAGATCCTCAGAAGCAGAACCAGGAATCTTCATTTCAACACAACAAAATTTTTATGCACAACAAATTTTAAGAATCACAGCCACATAAATTTCCAGGGTCTCCTAATGTTGACCTTGGCTTTGGGTGGGTTTGATTTGCTCATGGACATGCAAAGGCTAACTTGCACTGACTACACAACACAGGCCGGGGCAACCCAGGAGTGCCCAGGTCACACCCCTAACCACCACCCATGAAGTCAGCATTAATTCCAAACACCAGAATTGGTTTCTCTCCACCTCCGTCAGTTAGTGGGAAATTTAATTTGTGCTAATTGGCCTGGTGCGGGGAACACAAAATTTACTTAATGCATTAATTTTAAGTTTCACAGAACCCAAAGACAATTAGTCCTTTCATATTGGAGAAATGACAGATGCTTGTCATGGAGACCAGCAACCCCTAACCTTCCCAATCCCCACAAATCCCTCTCCTTGCCAACACCTTGGAGCCCAGCAGCTTTGTGATTGATTTGAGGAGTGGCCAGCATGCCCAGAGCTGCCAGGGGATGCAAAATGAAAGCCCATTTAATAAGGGGAGAGTGTGATTTGCAAATCCAGAATGGGTCCTTGTTAATTACTCACCAGATGGAGGCACCAGGAGGAGCAACTGGATTGGCCCAGGCTCATGCATCAGCTTTCCTGGATGTTTTTTGTTATGACTTGTAGCACTGTGGGAGGAGGACTGTAATCCTGTAGACAGTAATAAGTTGCAACATCTTCAGGCTGTAGGATGCTGATGGTGAGAGAATAATCTGCCCTAGACCCACTGCCACTGAATCTCGATGGGACCATAGATCGCAAAGTGTATGCTGCATAGTCCCGGAGTTTAGGAGCTTTTTCTGGTTTCTGCTGATACCAGGATAACTCATTGCCAATGCTCTGACTTGCTTGGCAAGTGATGGTTACTCTGCCTCTTACAAATGTAGACAGGGAGAATGGAGACTGGGTCATCTGAATGTCACATCTGGCACCTGAGATTGGAAACACAAGGACAAATATCCATATATTCAATCATGTTGTAAGAGGACTTCCCTGACTCACCAGGCTATACTGAGCACGCTGTCTGAGTCAATTCCTAGTGTTCTCCCTCCTTACCTGAGTGCCAGAGAAGCAGGAGCCCCAGGAGCTGAGCGGGGGCCCTCAGGTCTGTGCTGTGTTCCCACTGGGACTGACTCCCGCACTGGCTGTGACCAGTCTATTATTCAATATTCAGAGAAGTAGGCTGGGATTTGGGCACATGCAAATAAGCAGGAGATGAGGCAGGCTGAGCACAGGAGCAGGGCTGTTTTATTTAAGCAACTCAGCACAGGTACAATGTCCTCAGTGTCTCAGGTCAGACAAATACAACACAGACTTACCTGCAGAGAACATGTTTCTCGTTGGTGGCCACATTGTTATAAAAGATACTTGGGAAAAATTTTCAAAATTTAAAATGAAGCTAAGAACTAGACACAATAATATATTATGTGGTTGTATTTTTATTATGTGGGGGAATACATTTGTTAGTATTGAATGCATGGTACAATTTTAGAGAGTTGAGCTGACATGTCTTCAAGTTACGCTGAAATGGAACCCATGGGGTAAAAAACTTTTGGACTGTACTAAAAACAACGAGAGTAAAATTGTTTAATTTTTTTATGAAAAAGGAGATTTTATCAGAAGCATGTTTAATATATTAATAAGCATTTAGAATTGGCCCTAACCATTGTTGTTGCCAGTATAGGGTCTACGAATTCACTGCAGATGTACAAAGGTGATACCATGATTCTTCAATGCATGTCACTCACATTATTTTAAAACTTTAAATCTCTTTATAGCCAAGCTCTACATGAAATGAGCCT